AAAACCGGAAATATGAAAAGGGTATAAATGATTTTAGTAACAATAAAATGTAGTTATATTTTTTCAATTCTATTTGTAAATTTATTGAGATTAAACAAGTTATGAAAACGGTTTTTTCAATCAAAAAGAAAATAATAAAGACCAATTTTCACACCGAAAAAATATCATATAAAATCGAGATCAGAAAATTTAATATTGTATATTTGTGTAATACAATACTAAAAAACAAATTTATTTATTACCAAGAATCGATAAATGGTAGTTAATGATTTTGGATATTGAAATACTTTTTTGAAGATTGAGTTTAAAAGGTATATTTTAAAATAAATTTACCCGAATTTCTTGGAAATAGCTTACATAAAATTATTATTGATCAAAATTTGTCAAATTCAAAATTTTTTTCAAAATAGTCAATTCCATTCGAATATATTGGCTGTGGGTATTTTAAACCCCCTTTACCGGTATTTTAGGGTATGTTAGAGAATGTTAGAATGATTTAGGTGTTTTGGTATGTATCTTTGGGGGAAATTAAGCCTGGATTTTGAAAAAAAAAAAAAATTAGGTACAAATTTGACTTTTATAAAATATTTTATGGGGGGGAAAAATTTTCCACTTAACTTTTTGAATTAAAATTGGTTTACAATAAATTTTTGATAATTACAAGTATGGATGATTTCAAAATTCTGGATTTTTCTACAATTTAAGTAATTAAATACCACCAATCGCAAAAAAAAAAATATCTTTGATTTTTTACTCACATAATCTTTAAAAACTTTCAAAACTTTCATACCAATGAAAATAATCAAAGAGGTCTTCAAAAATACAAAAAAATTAAATATAACGGATTTTGAAATTTGACCAATTTTGAAATTTAATAATTTACAATAGGTAACATATGGATTAGTAATTTTTAATTATGAATTAAAAACTTTAAATTATTTAAACCCTTGAATTAATTTGTGAATTCGTGAAATTGGTAAAATAAAGAGAAAAAAATCAACTTTTATTTACAAAACAGAATTCAAAATTGAAAATCCGGTGATTTCACTAAATAAATAAAAATTCATATTCAAAAAAAAATTGAAAAAGTTTTTTTTTTTGCTTATTTGGAAAAATTAATAAAATTTAATCAACAAACAAACAATAAAATATATTGGAATTCAAAAAAATTTCTTGATTTGAAACGTTATATAGATATATATATATATATATATGAGAGGGAGAGAGAGAGATTATCAGTATTTATGAATTTACAAGTGCTCTGTTTATCGTTAGGTTTTCCAAATTTTCAAATAATTGAGGTAAATTTTTGATTTTATTCAATTGTTCTATATTCTCAAAAAAAAACCAAATTTTAAATTTGAACAAGATCTCTTGAGTGTATATTCTTTTTTATGTGTTTTTATTGATTACAAATGTATTCTTCTCTGGTAAAAATTAATATATTGTAAATTATATTTATTGTATTGTTCTATGTTGGTTTTATTATTTTTGTTTAAATTTTTTATTTTTGTAGAGTATTTATTAGATTGTAAATTTTTTGATGTTTGTCATTGGTTATATGAACAAAAATTTTTAAATTGGAAATTTGATTGATATCAGATAATTTTTTGAACTTTATTTTATGGTTTAAAAATTAGTATTAATGATAAAATATCTGATAAAATAGAAAAACGCTTAAAAAATGTACATTGCTTCGCTAGCTCAGTTGGCACACTACTCGGAAAATTTTCAATTTTTTGAACTTGATCAATGGGAAATAAAAACTGTTTCCCCTAATAAACTTATGAACATTCTGAGAGTTAATGTTCATTTTGGATTAGTATGGTTAAAGATATCTTTTTACAAATATTAAATTTAAATAAAAAAAAAAAAAAAAAAAAAAGGATTTTCATTTTCAAAAACATTCACTTCATTTTTTAAAGTGATACATTGACATTATTATCACTTTAGTTAGAAAATGACAATTGAGAGAATTAAGTGAACAAAACGTATTCACTGAAAAAGGGATAGGAGGTAAAAATAAAAAATACAATTTCAAATATTCCAAATTTTCATTTGGTCACTGGAACAAAATAGGAATATTCTGGGAAAAAATGGGAAATTTTCAAAGTTATCCAGGTGAAAAATTGAGTTTTGAGATAAAATATTGAGTATCTTGGACGATTGAATTTGAAGAGTGTTTTGAGTGTGTTATATCAAGGGTTATTATACTTCCTCATTTATTCACCTAGCCATTGGCGAATCACATCTAACTACTGGACAAAATAATTTTTTTTTAATAAATAAAAAAAAAAAATAAAAATTAATTTTAATAATTTTACCAGCACTGTGAAACAACTGGGAATTGGAAAATTTTAAATTGACCCTTAATGGAAAAATTAAATAAGGTCTTGAGAACTCTAATTAAAGACAAACAAAAAAACCCAATCTATTGAAAAACAACTAATCTTTTTGAAAAATACAGAACATAAAGCACTCAACTTTTTAAAATGATCAAACTCAAAAACTCAACAATTAACAAAATAGTAAAAAGAAAATAAAATTGAAAACAAAAAATAAAGATCAAAAAAAATGAATGAGAATTTGGTTTTATTAAGGTAGAAAGAAAAACAAAAAATGAAAATGAAAAATAAAGGAAAAAAGAAAAGAATAAAAGTAAATAATTGAGAATTTAAATTTTGTGCTCTTTGTGCCAGTCACCTTTTTCCAACATAGATTTCACTTAGAACCCTTGAATTCTTTTCCATTGAGGTATTAAGAATTTTGATTTATACGCCAGCTCCATACAAGTCCTCTTCAAATTGAAATTCCTAAAAATAATTTCATTATACAAAATAGTTTCTCTTCCGATAATTGTTTTTGCTTTTCCCAATAATTGAATTCAAATTTATTTTTTACCAAGTCTGAATTATTTTGTGGCCAATAAAATAATTAAGACTTGATAAAAAATTTAAAAAAATTCAAAAAAAGAAAAAGAAAAACAGTAAAAAATGATTATTTTGTTTGATCAAAAATTCGTTAGAAACTTTATCAAGGTATGAATTTAAATTCACCAATAAAACACAAGGGCTGAATTTTAAATTCATTTTGAAAGTAAACTTCAAAATATTTTTTTTTGTTAATTTTTCGCTTTTCACTTTGATCTTGCTCTACAGTATTGTAGAAGAGCTTGAAGGAATTCCGTCTTATTTTTTTTCTTATTAAAAAATATTTATCTCACTAAAATAATCAAAAACAATTAAACAAAGTAAATTTTCTCAATAAAAAACTTTGATCAAGTTTCAACCTCAACCCCTCAGAATCGAAAAACTGTTTGAACTTTTAATCAAACTCTCTTTTCAAATACAAAAAATCTGGTTACTTCGAAAAAATTATTAATTTGAAAGAATTTTTTTTTAAATTGAAAACCCTGTGAAAATAAAAATTTACCATTGTGAAAAAAATTTGGGTCATTAAAAATAATTGGGTAAGTCAAAAATTTGTTTTCGTTTTTTAAATAGTAAATATTAGCAAAATGATTTTTGATCAAAGTAAAATTTTATGAACAAATCTTACATTTAAGAAAAACCAACGTCACTATCAATAATAATTTTCAAAGGCAAAATTATCTTGTTGCATTTTAACCTTTTAAAATTACTGTGGAACTCTAAAAAAAAAAAAAATGATTTTTAATTGTCAACTTTACTAAAAATAAGAGAAATATTTAATAGGAAATATTAAAATCTATTTATTCAATAAGATATTTATCATTGTTAATGAACGCAAATTTATCACGGTTAATCTTAAATATCCTTTTAAATCAAATTGAATTATAAAATCTTCCAAAAAAGATGTTTTTTCGAAAGAGATTGTTTTCCACTAATGTTTACAATCAAAACTTCAAAATACCGAAATATCAAGATTTCAGAAACCATTTTAATTCTTAAAATCCCCTTAGACAAACCTTAATTTAAAACGGTTATTAATTTTTAGTCTTCCCAAACAATAATTAACTAGATCTTGGAATGTAATCTAATAAAAAAAATCAACATTTTTAGTAAAGTTTACAATTAAAAATAAATTTTTGTTTTTTAGAGTTCCACAGTAATTCTATAAGCACAAAATACAACGAAATAATTTTGACTTTGAAAATTATTATTGATAGTGACGTTGGTTTTTCTTAAATGTAAGATTTGTTCATAAAATTTTACTTTGATCAAAAATCATTTTGCTAATATTTACTATTTAAAAAACGAAAACAAATTTTTGACTGACCCAATTATTTTTAATGAACCAAATTTTTTTCACAATGGTGACTCTATCAAACTTTTCATTCAATTTTCGAAAACTTATTCTTAGATTTTCGGCGAACGAAATATTAGTAAAATTGAAATAAACCTTTTCTTCAATTCTGGAAAAGGTGTGTAATTAATTTTCTCAGAGAGTTCAATAAAAAGCTAAATCAAAACCTTTGAATTTAACTTATTATTGCTTTTGAGATCTTGACTTTTTTTTTCAAAAGCACCTATTAATGAAGAATTTGAGATTCCAATCCAAATTTTTCTATTTTAATAGTAAAAACGAGTTTAGATTTTTTGTTTTCCTTTTTTCCCCATGTTTTTACATTTTTTACTATCCAATTTTTCTCAAAAGTTGGCCTGGGAATAAATGTGTAAACCTGGGAATGTTTCTGGGAAAAATATTATTAGAATTTTTTTTTCAGAGCTAACAAACACAATAATCAACCAAATGATGCACGATAACTTTCCACCTAAAAGAAGTTTTGGGTTTTAAAACTTCACTCAACAGAATTTTTATGTGACTTTTTTGGACATGGAAAAATGTTCGAAATTGTCAAATGAAAAGAAAAATTCACATCTCTTTGAACTTGATCTAGTTCGATCATGGAACAACTTTTTTAATCAGGTTCTTAATTAATTCAAATTTAATAAACTATCTGGTATTCCATTTTCTAAAATGTACTTTGTGTACACCTATCTAGGTTACCCAATTTTATTGGATTTCCGAGCAGTGCAGAGCGTCAGGCTTTTAACCTGAATGTCGCGGGTTCGAGCCCCGCGCGGAGCTTTTTTTATTGCTTTCTTTTAACTTTTTTTGATGGTCTAATGTTGTTCTTTTATAAAAGGTTACTAATTGTTTCTGTCAAACTTTCAAATCTATTCAGAGTAGAGCCAAACAAAAAGTAATTTTTAACAAACACAAAAATATTTTTTCTTCGACTTTTCAAATTTCCGAACAAATAAACCAATTTTTCTTCAATTTATTTTGTATACCCAGTTCTGTTGAATAATAGAAAATTGATTTTGCTTCCAAAAATACTTTATTTGTTTCTTTTTTCATCGAAATAAAAAACTTTTTTTAGTTTTTTTTAAGTGATGTAGATCATTTAAAAAAATCAACTTACATGCTTATTCACATACTTGTATGAAAATGGTGTTCATTTTGAATGTTTTTTCTTCAAAGAGTCTCAAAAAGCATTATTTGTTGCAAACGGATTCTAATAATTTCGATAAAAAATTTTTATTACATTTTTTAATTTTTTGACAGAATCAATGTTTGACTTTATTCCACAATTATTCAACTAAACAAAAAAGGTAATTAAGGTTTTTTGATAATCCTAACAAGAATATGTGAAAATTTTTAACAGAAAAGGAAAAAATTGTGAATAATAATAAAAATGAAAACAAATAGGAGATCAAAACAAAAAATAATTGGGATCTATGATAACAAACACTTTTTTAATTTCTTTTTGAGGGCATTTGGTTGGACCTTTTGAATTAAAGCTTTCTTATTACAATTGAGATAATTAGGTATGGTTTTGATTGTTGGACAAATAAAATTGACAATTTAAAATTAGATAAAACTGTTACCTTTATTAAAATGAAATCTTAAAAAATAAAGTCACATTAAAAGATAACCAACATTCCAGAAATTAAAAAACCCGTGTTATTGTAGTTATTTTTGTTTGTTCTGTTATTACAATTCATACCATTTGTCATGTAAAAAAGTGTTTTTCCTGTAAACTTTTTAAAATAAGGTATTTCGTAAAAAAGTAGGGCATTTTTTATTACGTTTTATAAAAAATAATCTTATTTAGTGATGGTAATCATTAACCAACAATTCCAAATTAAGTTTAATATTTATATCGATTGAACTTTCTTCTTATGTATTTATTTCAAAATAGGTTTATTAAAATATTTCCAAAAAAATGAAAAAAAAAATAGTACTTTTTTTGATTAAAGCAAGGTACGACCAATTCCAATAAAAAATTGGAAATATGGAAAGGGTACAAATGATTTTTTAAAAACGAAAGCGCAGTTATATGTTTTTAATTCTATGGTAAATTTTGTTGAGATTATTCAAGTTATGAAAAAGATTGTTTCGATCAAAAAGAAAATAATAAACACCAATTGTTGTACATAAAAAAATATCAGATACAATCGAGATCAGAAATTTTAATATATTTTATTTATGCAATACAAAACAAAGAAACAAATTGAATTATTATCAAGAATAAATCTATAAATGGAAGTTAATGATTTTATATATTTAAATGATTTTTTGAAGAATGGGTTACATCAATATATTTTAAAATAAATTTACCCCTCTTTCTTGGAAATAGCTTAATGCAAAAATGAATTTTTGATAAATTCAACTTTGAGATATTTACTGGTGAGTTAATAAAGAATAGTTATATAAAAGATCTACTCAGATAATAAAACTAAAATATGGAAAACAATTTACTTATGATAAATATCCATGTTTCTATGTTTTCTGGTATTAAAAAGAATCGAGTAAAATTAATTTATGTTTGTTTGATTCTTATAAATTATGGAAAACCTAAAGGAAGTATCTTTGGTTTTTTGGAATTCAAAGAAATCTTTTAAAATGATAGAAAAGTATCCACCAAGCGCTGTAGAGTGCCATCAAGTGCCTAGGTTTTTTTAAGTGGGAAATAAACAGAAAATTTATGAGATTTTACTCAATTCTCTTAAATTATAGAAAGCCTTAAGGAACATTCAGATTTTTTCCAGAATTCAAATGAATAAATGAAAATCTAATAATTTTACTCACTTTTAAACATCAGAAAAACAAATGAAAATGTCGAGATTTTTTAGAATTTTAAAGAACTGTATAAAATACAAAATTTTACTTGATTCTATTAAATTCTGAAAACTTGACGAAGGTATCTTAGGTTTCCGGGGATTCATAGAAATCATATAAAATTATAGAAAAGTATCAGCCAAATCACTCTACACGATCATGGAAGAATTTTTTCAAAAAAAAATCAAATATTTGCTAATTTTTCACTTTTTGATAACTTCACTTATAATAAACACTATTCGTTAATAAAGGATCTTCTATCAAAAAATACTTTTAAAGATATTTTACAATTTAAGTTGGAAAATTCTATTTTCCAGTAAGATTTTTTTCAAATTTAATAGTAAAAAATTTGAATATTTTTATTTACACAGTTAAGAGGTTATAATCATATATTTAAAAAGTATTTTAAATTTAATAAAAATCTTTCAAACTGATAACCAATTATTTGGACTATTAGGGAATTATTTAATAATATAAATTTAAAAAAATCTTTTTTTTTTGATTTTCCGTTAGGTTTTCCAGAATTTAAAAGAATAGAGTAAAATCAAAGATTTTACTCAATTCTTTTGAATTTTCGAAAACCTAAGACACTCACAATAATTATCATCAGTAATTTTTTTTCTCTGTTTCAGTTTTATTAGATGAGTACAATGTTTTCATAACTATTTGTTATTACCTATCAAAATAAATATCTCCAAGTTGAATTAATCTATAATTCATTCTTCCGTTTATTTGTAGTTTTTTACCCAAAAAATGCCTTTTTTCTTAGCTAGAGACTTTTCAAAATCGTAGTACTATTAACAACAATAAATACAATAGTCTCATGAATTTAAGGTTCTGGAATTTTGATTATATTGAGAATAAACTTTATTATTCAAGATGAAAGGTTAAGGAATGGAGTAGTTTTGTCTAACTTTTTTTTTTCAATTTTTTTTTTGATACTAGCAGAGTGATGTAGAAATACTCGGGTTTTTTTTTTAATTTGAGAAATAAAACGAAAATTCAAGAAATTTTTAATTTAATTTTCAAAATCAACATAAAATAAATTTATTTTGAGAAAGGGGTAATCAAAGAAAACTTACTAAATAAAAAAGAGAAGAAGAAAAATAATTAAAATATTAAAGTAATAAAATATTATATCATTTAGATTATCAAATTAAAAATTATCCACGTCCTGAAACATAAAAATCAACATGAAATTTATTAAATTTTCATATTAGTTCAAACAGTAAAAAATACTTTAGAAAAAATCAAAATGTTTATCTTTATATTCAATTTAAACCAACAAATAATTCTTTAATAGTCAAAAAATATAGATTCCGTATTTGAAAGATAATAAAATGAATTCTTAAATGTAAAAAAAAAATATTTTTAACTATTAAATTTTAAAAAGGGGTAGGATTTTTTTTGGAAATTTTTTTTTTTATGGTAATGCGGAATTAAAAAATGAGGAACAAAAGTTTTAATGAATAAATTAAACAACTTGAAAGTAAACAGTTTGATCAATACCTTATAAAATAATATCTGGTTATCTTAAGGTTTAAAATCCATGAAATTTAAAAAAAAAGGTTATCTTGTGTTGCGTGTGTAGTTTTTTAATTTGGTTCTTAGTTGATCGATCTTGGACTTGTTACGGGTTTAAATAGTTGTTGAAAATGTCATTTTTAGAAAATTTATTTATTTTTTTTTCGAAATCCGAATTGAAGAGTTTAAGACGAATCGATTGTAAGACAGGTTATAAAAATGTGTTTTGTGGGTTTTTTAATTGAAATTTTTCATTCAGTTTAGTTTTATTGGTACTTTTTTATTTTTTTTTCTCTTCATTTAGTTAATTGACAAAATAGTAAATTAAAATTTTCTTCTACAAAACCCAAAAATCAAAATTTATTCTTAAACACCTACCAATCTAGTAATCTTACACTCTTCAATTTAGATTTCGGAAGAAAAACAAAAAATTAAATTTTAAAAAATTGCCATTTTGAACCACAGTTAAAACCCATAAAAAGTCCAAGATCGATCATATAAGAAACAAATTAACAAAATACAACACACAACACAGTATAACCTTTTTTTCAAATTTCGGGATTGCAAACATTAATAGAATGCTAATAATTGTGATCAAAAAATTTTTTTTTGAGAACACCAATCTTTCAATTTCAAAAAAAAAATAATTTTAAAAAAAGTATTGGTGTTAACCAAACATTTTTATATCGAAAATACATTTAGGTTCAAAAACCAAAATTATTGTTTTCTTAACTATTACTGTGAATTATTTTACTGTATAAAAATATTTATTTATCCCAAAAATTGTTAAAAATCTGTTTTTTATAGCATTCCGTATTGATATTTGTGTATAAATAAATGGGTTTATTGGTTTATATTTTATGAAATTTTTTAAAATCAGTTAATCTTTTTATTTTCTTTATCAGTTTACTGTTTTAAAAAAACAAGAACTATAAGAAAAACAAAAATAGAAATTATAACAATTTAAATCTAAGTTCTTTGAAATTTGTGAAATTTAAAATATAATTTATTTTCCTGGTGAAACAAGATATAGAAATTTGAATATCAAAAAATTAATTACTTTATTTGTGAAAAGAATAAAAATAAGCCAGAGTAAAAAAAAATTTGTTTTATTTTTAGAATTGTTTTTTTTTTTTTGATTAAATTTTTTGTTTTTTTTTTTCTGATTAAAATAATATATCCTGAATCAGTAAAACACTTCTTTCAAATTAAAAATATCTATTAGTTTTTTTTAAAAAAAAAATTACTCACTATTATGATCAAAGAGCCCATCAATTAAATAGTCCGAGTAAGTTTGCATTTTAAAATATTTTTTTTTTTTTACGTTTTAAGCTTTATAAAAAAAATAATTTTTCTACATCATTAAAACCAGTTATAAGAATCATTATGATAAACTCCATTTCAGTTAAAAGATTTTATCCAAAAATAAATAATTCACT